TGAAATATACTAGGAAGTAGAGCTGATCTTTTGGGGCTCAAAATAAGATGACCTTAAACTAAAATCTGTTTTAATTAATAAAATATAAAAATTACTGAAAAGAAAAGGTTTTCTGACTATGTGCATGAACACAACACCCTTAGTAGCAGATGTGATATGTATATAGGTGAATAGGAGAGTGAATCTGTACCCTTTCCCTCCACCATCAGGGATTCCCAGAAAAGATGGTTTCATTTTGGTAGATCCTTCATTACTGTTTATAATCCAGAACAAGTGACAATGTGGTCACTGATTGTAATCAGAAATTGAGGCTGTATGAAGAATTTAAGTCACACCAAAAGGTTTCTGCTCATGCAAAGTGTGGTAATGGCCTGTTGTTACCTGAAATTCCATCAACTAGGGATACATTGGGGTGAATGGATTTTTTTTTTTTTAATGCAGATGCTAAGGGTCAGATTAAATCCAATTGCTTTCTTCATAATTTTTAAATGAGACTGATATGCTGAAGGACTGGACAGATGTTTTGGGGTTTGGGATTCCTCAAGAGGTAGAAGAAGCTGCTCACTTTTCCAAGCCCCATGTGCCTTCCCCCTTGTTTATCATTGCTTTTTCCAGCCAGTCTTAGCACCTGTTCTCTACAGTGGAGATCACAAACATTGAGACTCAGGCCACACTGGAGTACTATAGGCCATCCCACTTGTTACTCGTGCCCCAGTCCCTTTCCCACTGTCAGAGAAGACTGGGCCATGCCTCTCAGTCTCCATTCCCACCCCAAGGCTTGACACTGTGCAGAAGATGTCAGGGGTCCTTTCCTCTTCTTAATATCCACCACTGTTGTGGCTGCATATTGGATCTTGTTATAGGAAGACAGAGCAGCCTTGTGGTTAGAAATACAGTCATTGGAGTCAAACAGACCTGGAATGGATCTCTACTGCACCACTCCTTCCCTGCTTGACATTGGATCAAATTTCTTTCTCTCTGTAAGCCTCAGTGGTGTCATCTGTACATGAATGAACTTGTTGTCACCTCATAGAGTTTCTTCACTGCATATAAAGTGCTTGGTATGGGTTAAGCCCTCAATGAATGGAAGTTGTTGATAGAGCTGTAACTATAGCTCCGCTGGCATTTTAAACTCAAATGTTTCTCTCTTTGACCATGCCGCTCATTTGTTCCCCAGCTTGCCACATCTGTTCTGCAACCTCACGAATCCCCCAGTCCAGGAAATTTTCTCCATGTGAAAAACAGCCACCCACTGCCCTGGGGTCACACGCTTCCAAGTTTATAACTTTAGAGTATATATTTCCTTCCAGGTTTCTCAGGAAGACCCCAAGGACTAGCCCATCCCTGGAGGGGGTGGGGGTCTGTTACTGGAGGGGATCATGGGCTAAGACAGAAGATGTGGAGAAAAGATGGGTAGAGGCAGGCTGGAGGTTGAGCTCTATCCTCTCTCAGGAGAAAGTACTGTTTATGCATCTGTTACTCCATGCAAACTTTCAGAACAGATATTCTGTGAAATGGCTTTTTGAGGTCCAGGGTAACCATTGGTTTGATTGGCTTTTAATGAATTGTTTACAACACAAATATTTTGTCACAAACATATTTGGATTGACCTCCATGCATTGTGGGTGGGAGGAGGGAGGTGCTGAGTTCTTGTTATCATTGGTCCTTATATAGAGAGAAGAAATTTAGATTCAATGATTCATCCAAGATCAAACATTAGTTGGTTAGTGGAGACAAAATACAAAATGTCTGCCTTTTAAAATTGTGCAGCATCTCTCCCTTGACTTATTCCTCCAACAGCACCCTTCTCCTTTCACCATTCTACCACTCAACAGTAGGAGGACATTCCCAACCCCATCCTACCATTGGCCAGCACTGTCAGAAAATGTCCTGTTCTGTACCCTGCATCAGGTTGCAGAGCCCTTTTCCTAAATTTTCTCTTTTATAAGGGGGTGGGGTGACTGTCCGCCCCCTTGGTCCTATCTTCAGAGAGCCGTTTCCTTCCTACCTCACCTCTTAGTGTTCCTCCTCCAGTAGCCCCTAACTTTGCATATCCACTTAGTCGTTTGATCCCCATCTTTGCCATAGCCTGCCAAGAAACTGAGGAAGGAGGAGGAAGAGTGTGTGTGCCTGAGGATTCAGCTCTGCTCCTCCTCCTGTGTTTGTACTGTGTGGAGCTTTGGAACACCCTCATTCTGGCACAAGCCAGTTAAGGTTGAGTTTTTGTCATGTCCCTGGTCTCGGTTCAACCAACCCACAGCTGTGGCCAGCCATTTAGAGCTTGTTGAAGGCAGTGGGGCACACTGGCTAAGGGCATAGGCATTTGAGTCATGTGACCACTCTGCCACGTTCCTTGACAAACCTCTCTGTGTCTTGGCCTTATTTTCTGTAAAATGGGAATGAACTCATGTGGTTGTTCCCAGAATTAAATGAGATGATCCATGTGAAATCTTTAGCATAGGAGAAATACATGCTGAGTGTTCAATTAAAACTGGCTGTTGTTATGTACAATACCAAATAAATGCCATTTATTCTATTCATGTCACATGTCTCTAGGTTGTAAAGTCCAATTTCTCTGTGTCCCTCACCCTGCCCCATCTGGTACAAATCATTGATAGGGTGACAGCTTTGAGGGAGGTGTGAATACAAACCCAGGAGATTTGGATGAGAGTTTTTATTTAGTCTGTAATTCTGATTGTTCACTGTAGAGAGTGGATGCTTTGGTTTGAGATTTCTCTGAGTTTGATTGTTTTAATTTGGTCCCGGTGATTTCGACAGGGGGCAATAATTCAGAGGGATTAAGTGTCACCACTGGGAACTTGCCTGACTCTTTATCCAGGAAGCAGAACTCTGACCAGTGGGGATAGAAAAGGACAGCATCTGAAATGAGCACTAGGAAGTGAGCAGTCCAAGGTTGAGTCTTAGTTTTGGCTCCGAGGGACAGGACTGGGCCAGAGGGTGGGCTTTGGAGTCAGATTATAGTTCCTTGTAAAAGGCGATGGAAATAATTCTCTAATCTTCACCACTTCCCCAAGTCCACTGAGTGCTGGCAGTGAGTGGGCTCTCTCAGTTGTGCTCTTACCAGCTGGATAAATTGCAAACTCAATAAATAAAGTAAGTTACTTTTTGTAAGTAACCTACTATATAAGCCAGTGAATATGAAATACATTCCATGAAAAAGAAATTGAATGTCACAGGACAAAAACGTTACAAAAAGTTTGAGTTGTCAAATTTGGTATGGGCAAAACAATTATAAAAGGTTAGGGGAAAATGTCAATAACGGGGCGGTGGGGGGGCGGTGGTCTCTGCTCAGATTGCTTTTGAAGTGGTAAATTCTTGCTCTCCTCTAAAGAAAAAGAAACAGTTAATCATAAAGAACACCTTGTAGCTGGGGTTAACACAAGCAAGCAAAAGGGGACCAGCAAGGTCAGAGAACAGCTTTAGCCAGTGTAAGAAGCTTGCAGATAAATACACACTTATATCTTAAAATAAAATGTTTTTTCCCTCCTTCTCTTTCTCCCTCTCTTCTCCTCTATCTAAAAATAAATAAATAAAATCTTAAAAAAAAAAAAAATCCCTGGCTGGTGTGGCTCAGTGGATTGACCGCCCTCCTGTGAACCGAAAGGTTGCTGGTTCAGTTCCCAGTGGGGACACATGCCTGGATTGAGGGCCAGGTCCCTAGTTGGGGGCATGTGAGAGGCAACTGATTGATGTTTCTCTCACACATCCATGTTTCTCTCCCTCTCTTTCTCCTTCCCTTTCTCTTTCTCTAAAAATAAGTAAGTCTTCAAAAAATGTTTGTGGTATGTAATATTTTTACTATATACATTATTATAATCACATATTAATAGTACTGTGGCACCTTGGTACTCATTAATTCATTCCGGAATTCATGATGAGTGCCGCAAGCGAAAAGTGATGAAGCATTTTCTCTTGCGGGGCAGCATTGTGCCTCATATAGGTTCTAGCAAGTGAGTCCAAAGCAAGCACCAAATGCCGAAACATTTTTTTCTCGTCAGAATGCAACGAGTACAGGGTTCGATGAATTCTGAAGCTGACGTGTACCAAGGTATGTCTGTATAGGTTAAGGTAGTGTTGGCCTGGCTGGTGTGGCTCTGGATTGAATGCTGGTCTGCAAATTGAAAGGTTGCTGGTTCAATTCCCAGTCAGGGCACATGCCTGGGTTGCAGGCCAGGTCTTCCATTGAGAGTGTGCAGGAGGCAGCCAATCCCTCCTCATGTATCTCTCCCTCCCTCACCCTGTAAAAATAAATAAAATCTTTTTTGAAATAGTGTTATATATATGGTACTTTTTAAGTGAATTTTCTACTTTAATAGATTTCTCTATCAACCAGTCAACTACTAGTATGGATCAGGTGAGGGTTTCTTCTATACTAACAAATGGAGTCGTCCAGTAGGTTTTGTTGATTCCTGTTGGACAACTGAAAACTGGTTTGTCAGCTTTGTTTCCTAAGACTAGAAATATGACATACGGCTATGTTAATAACTATGTTAATAACACTGTTACCCAAATAACCTGTATCTTTGGATTCCATTTCCAATGGAATGTCTTCTTATAGCCAAGCTGACTTCAGGTTTTTAATCACGTGGCTTTTACTCTGCTGCCTGAATACTGTGTAGATACAATTGGACTTGTGGGTTGCTCTGGTTTAGCCAGCGCTCAAAGACAGGCAGGGTTGGTGTGAGCCAGAGTCCAGATGAGGGGGTGGAGAACAGGAATGGAGCAGGCTAGGTGAGAAGTTGGAAGGCCCATTTGAACCTTGGGTCTTACTATTTGGTTGGCTTCTATGCATCAAGCACCCAGGTCCAAAGACGAGAACAAAGGCAAATCCTTCAGAAGCATGGTGACTTTTTAACTTCATATAATTCTACATTTCCAGTTAGTTGTTACCCTGTACTCAAATCGATGGCTGAGAATTCATTACACTAATGCAATAGCCACCCATAACCTAAAAATGCCTGGCTTTCTTGTTTTCACAGGTGTTGGGGCGATGTTTCCTGACTGTGGTGCAGGTCCATTTCCAGTTTTTGACCCAGGCATTACAGAAGGTCCAGCCAGTGGCTCACTCTTGCTTTGCTGAGGTGGTTGTGCCTGAAAAAAAGAACAGCAGCAGTGGCAGCAGCTTGTCTGGCATGGGCCATACACCTGAACTGGAGGAAGCTGTACGATCCTGGCGGGGGGCTGCAGAGGTAACCCTGACTTTGGGGGAGGTTGTTCCCCTGTGTTCAAAGAGGAGAGAGAGGCCTTTGCCTGTTGGCTCTTAAAAGAGCCTTTTCACTTAGAAATGTGAGTTTTAAACTGTTACCAGTAGTTTGTTCATTTATTTAACAGTGAATGTCTTTGTAAATGCCCACTTGTGTCAGGCATGCACCAGGTACTGGGGTGACAGCCTCTACTCAAGGCCTCCTTGGAAAAAGGGCCTAGAAAAACCAGTTAAGGGGCTGTGATGGAGGCGTGTGGGAACCCAGAGGAAGGGGCCTGCCTCCAACTAGGATCTGTATAGCCAAGCCTCTAGAAAGAGGGACCAGGGAGAAAAGGATGGCGTCTCAGTCTGTAAAGACAGCTGGAGCTGGCTGCAGAAGGTAAGTAGTGAGCCAGGCAGCTTGGTGGGGGTGTAGTTGGTGACAACACATTTCTTGTAGGCATTTTAATATTCCTTTATTTCCAAGACAGGGGTAAAAAAGCCTTTTCAAGTCGAGGCTTTAACTAGCACTTTTAGTTTTGTTTTACAGAGTAACAGATAATTTATAGTTAATGAGAAACATGTTGATTTATTATATAATATTTAGTTTGAATCATTCCATAATTAAATTGGTAAAGTATTTCATTTAATGTTTTAGAAATCTTCTTTAATTAAATTTTTAAGCATTTTTTTTACATCTTTAACATTTTACATTCTCTAAGTTTCTTAATTCAGTTTTATGTTGCTCTGCTGCATTGTTATTTCTTTTGAATTTCCTTTCAATTTTTTTTTTTCCTGTTTGCTTGTTTTGGTCTCCCTTTCATGTCAAGGGCTTTTCTTGGCTTTCTTGATGTTTATCAGAGCAGCCCTGAAATGCTAATTGGGGGTCAAATATGAGAGTGGGACCTGTTGGCTTTATTGCAGGTGGCTGGGCAGTGGGATCCAGGTCTTCATTTTGTCATCTTGCAATCTTGTGTGCCCACCTGGCTGCTGGGCTTCAACCTCCTGATCATGCAGCTCCCGTTCGTACTCTTAATACCTGGTTCATGTCTTTTCCACTTCACCTGCTGGCATCATTCATGCTGGGAATCCAGCCCATGTGAAGCCTCCTCGTAGTCCTCACCTTGACCTTTTCCTTCACCCACTTCAGTCTGCCCAGGCCTTTCTGCCTTTCTTACTTTGCTTCCAGCCAGTGACATTACTCCACAGCATGCTGAGAAAATAGAATCCATCTGGCAGCAGCCCCTCCTCTACATATCATCAAAATGACACCCCCTCTCCTCATTCAGACCCTCTTCTCTTCCTTCCCCTTCATTAGAGGGAAGGAAGTACCCTTCCCTCCTGTCCAGGGCCTGCCTGTCCCCACTCTGCAAGATTTCTATAGTAGGACCCTGTGTTTTCTCCTCTTCAGCATGCTCCACCATCATAGAAACGTGCTTACAAACCCAAAAGTCCGCCCTGCCGTACTCTGTTTCTCTGCTGTTTTCATAGCCACCTTCTTAGAATTGTCCACCTCACCTTCGATTCATTCTAAAAAATATTACTGTGAGACATTTCAAGCATATAGGAAATGTCACACATACACATCTTTCTTTCTTTTAGCTTGTCAAATGAATCTTTCCTTTTTTTTTTTAATTTTAGAGAGAGCCCTGGCTGGTGTGGCTCAGTGGTGTGGCCTGTGGCCTATGAACCGAAGGGTCACTCTGGGTTGTGGGCCAGGTCCCCAGTTGGGGGCGTCCAAGAGGCAATCAGTCGATGTATCTCTCGCACATTGATGTCCTCCTCTCTTTCTCCCTCCTTTCCCCTCTCTCTAAAGATAAGTAAATAAAATCTTAAATAAATAAATAAATAAATAGATGGAATTTTAGAGACAGAGGAAGGGGGGGACCCAATCTGTTTGTTGTTCTACTTATTTATGCAGCCATTGGTTATTTCTTCTGTGTGCCCTCACTAGGGATTGAACCCACAACTTTGGCATATCAGGACAGTGCTCTAACCAACTGGGCTACCTGGCCAGGACCTGTCAAAATGAATCTTAACTTTTTGCCACATTTGTTTTATACCCTTTTTTTTTCATAGAAAAATATTATGACAAATTCAAATGAGTCTTCTTTGTACCTCTCCACTATCTTATTCACATTCCTTCCTCTCTAGAGATAACCTCTTCTAAATGTGGAGTTTGCGACTCCTGTGCATATTTCTTTATATCTTTACTCCGTATTGCATGTATTCATAAATAGTATAAGGTACTATTTTATGTAGTATGAAACTTTATATGAATGGCATCATTCAGCTCACTGAAATTTGACTTCCACTCCTACACAAGAACGTGCTTTCTCTTGTCAAGGTCATTGCTGCCTTCTGTATTGCCAAATCCAGGGAACCCTTTGACCCCATCCGTAGCTCACAGCAACATGAGTGCTTGGAAATGCTTTCTTTTGGTGGCATTTCTGAACCAGCCTGGTTCCTAGTTAACCCTTTTACCTCTCAGGTTGTTCTGCTCATCTACTTTGCTAACTTCTCCTCTTTAACACAATTTATAAATTTAAGTTTCCCAAGGCTCAATTCTAGGTGCCTTTCCATCTAGGGAGTCTCCATCTAGTTTTGGGACTTTAAAAACTGCTTGTGTCCTAGGGGCCCTCAAATGTGTATGACCAGCCCACTTATCTCTCATATGGGCTCACGGTCCCAGTATTCAGCTTCTGTTTATCTCAGGTATACAGGTGGCACATGCTTCACTCTTCCGTATAAACTTGTTCCTCCCCAAATCTTCTTTATGCTAGCAAGTGGTACCATCCCACGCTGGGTCATTCACACAAGAAGCCTGAGAGTTATCTTCCAATTTTTCTGTCATATTTATGTCTAATCTATAAGAAAGGCTTACAGGCCCCATCTCCAAAATATTATCCCAGATCTGTCCCTTTCTTTACATGTGCACTGTCAGTACCCTAGTTGATTACTCCCTCCTGATTCCTGTTGTAGCTGTACTCCTTTTTTCCTTTCCTGTTATCCTTCATCTCTTTTCTTTTAACATTTGGTGATGTTGCACACCATTTCCCTAGGGTAGAGTGTTGACCTTTCTATGACCTGCCGGTCCTGCATAGTCTAGCTTCTACCTTGGTCACCAGCTTTTCTGTTCCCCTCACGCACTGGGTTCTAGCTTCTTTGCTGACATGTCTCCCTGTCCTACTGCCCCACACTTTTGTTAACGACCTCCTTCTCCTTAAACTTGCAGCCAAAATGCTGATTTCTAGAGTGCTCCTGTTACAGTTCTGTGTTTCTTTCTATGTGTTTTTATCCATTTTTAATTTTTAAATGTTTTATGTTTGCCTTTTGGCCCACGAGGCTGTCTGCTTCAAGATGGTAGGGAACTGCATTTGTGCTTCACTGTCTGTCCAGTGACACCTAACAAGGCCTTGTAGGCTAAATGTTTGACTGAAAGATTCATAGAAAGAGACTTTTAGGGTTCAGGGAATGGTTGGAGTGGCATACATACATATATTGCTCAGCTTTGGAACTTTATAGCATTATAGTTGCTAGCTACTTTCCCTTAATCCTGCAATTTTGGTAAACATTAAAACCCCTACTTCAGCCTAGAAGACAAACATTAACTGTTTAAAAATGTTATTTATTGCACAAATATTATTACAATAAAAATAGACATTGGAGAATTGAGAGTTCATTTTGAAGCTCTCTTTTTATCTAATAGATCAAATACATATTTTTCTGTATTCTCTAGTCCTGAACCATATATACAGATAATTTATATTTTATCATAAGACACAGATTGTTTTTTTCTTCTTTTCTCTCTTGCTTATGTACTCTTCATAAACACATTTAATGACTGAAAAATAAATATCTAATTTTTCTGAGCATAGTGCAAAAGCTCTGGTTTTCCTTTAATGTACCAATGTATTTTTTTTTCTTGTTCTCTATTGGTGCAGCTTTTTACTTTGGTATATTGGAACACCCAACCATATACATTCTTTTGTTTTTTTAATCCTGGAAACTCCAAATGCCAATATTCTAGATTATCTGTCTTTTTAAGGTAGAGAAGTTTAAATGCAAGTATTTTGCATATATAAAAAATAAATAACAGGTAGGGATGTCTTTTTTTTCCCAGGGTTTCTTAAATAAGGTATATGTCAGGTTCTCTTTTTGATCAGGATGCTTGGCTTATTCTTTCAAAATTTCTGGCTGCCCGCTTTGTAATATGAACAATCCAGAGTATCTGGTTTATATCTAATGCTTAGATGATTTCTTGCTTTATTTCAGTTGTTTTTGTTTTTTAATTTTGCTAGTATCTGTAGCATCCTCTTTTACCTACCAATAACCATTTACGTTGCAGGCAACATCTAGACTAAGGGAAAGAGGCTGTGATGGCCGCCTGGCAGGAATTGAAGTTCAACAGCTCTTCTGTTCTCAAAGTGCAGCAATTCCTGAGCACCAGCTAAAAGAACTGAACATAAAAATAGACAGTGCTTTGCAAGTAAGTTTTTCAAAACTGACACAGTGATACCTGAGGGTTAAGAACAAGGGAGGGAGTTAAAGTTGTGATACTGAACCAGCTGGAAAGAGTAGTAAGATAGTAGTTGGCCATAGTGTTTTAAAAACTATAGAAACTTTAAATTTCTAGTTTCATTGGACTTGGTCATTCTAAAATCTATGTAAGCTTGATTTTTGAAAAACAATTTCTTTGCAGGCATATAAAATAGCTCTGGAAAGCTTAGGCCACTGTGAATATGCAATGAAAGCTGGTTTCCACTTGAATCCAAAGGCTATTGAAGCCAGTTTGCAGGTATGCTTTTCTTTCTGGGTGCTGTGGCATGGTACTGTCTCCATACCAAGTGAACCAAGTGTCTTGACAGGTGAGCTGTGGGTCACCTCTTCTTTCCACGCCTCATCTCTTTCAGGGCTGCTGCAGCGAGGCAGAAGCACAGCAAACGGGGCGGAGGCAGACGCCCCCACAGCCCATGCAGTGTGAGCTTCCCACTGTCCCTGTGCAGATCGGATCACACTTCCTGAAGGGCGTCTCCTTCAACGAGTCAGCCGCTGACAATCTGAAACTTAAGACGGTAGTTTTTAATGGGGTTCCAACAACCTGGGTGTGAACTAGAAAACAGAGTTCTTTAGGAAACCTGAGGGCTTGGAAAGAATATAGATTAAGCTCCTGTCGGTGTGGCTCAATTAGTTGAGTTTCATCCAGTGCACCAAACGGTTGGGGTTTTGATTCCTAGACAGGGCTCATATGGGAGGCAACCAATCAATGCTTCTCTCTCACATCACTGTTTCTCTCTCTCTCTTCCTTCCTCTCCCTCTAAAATTAATAAAGATATTTTTAAAAATTAAAAAAAAGAATATAGATTAAAAAACAAAATTGAAAGCAGGAAACATTAATCTTTCCCTGTAAACTGGTATCTAAAAATGGACTATAGTGAGTTTTTTTTTAAATTTTTTAGATAGAGGCTAAGGGAGGGAGAAGGAGAAGGAGAGAAACATCTATGTGTGAGAGAAACATTGATTGGCTGCCTCCTGGATGACCCCAACTGGGGACCCTGCCCACAACCCAAGCATGTACCCTGATAGGGAATCGAACCTTTTGGTTCGCAGGCCAGTGCTCAGTCCACTGAGCCACACCAGCCAGGGCTATGGTGACTTTTTTAATGAGATTATTTGTTAAATTTTATGTATAATTTTGTTCAAATGTTTAACATAAAAGGTTTGGAGAGTACATTATAAAATACTTTTTATGATTAATGTATTAGTGGACTTTCATGAAAAAATAAGAGGAGAAATCTTGTCATAATATGGCAGTATTTATGACCATTTGTGGAACATAATGTGTGCCAGGCACTGTGCTAAACGTTTCACATGCATTGTCTCCTTTAATGGTCAGCACTTTTTCTCCAGTAGAGAGAGAGAGGGACTAAGGCCCAAGGTCACACAGCTAGAAAGTAGTAGTTGGAGTTTGAGCTTATGCAGTCTGTTTCCGGAGCTTGCATACCTGACCATTTGGTCATCCCAAATAAAGTTGAGGTTTTCATTGGTATTTACTTCTACCAGATGATTTAACTTCCTTATTTAGAGGGATTGAGAATTCAAGATTCCTCAGCCAGTTTGCATGAGCAGATTGCTAAATAATGTATTTTGTGCCAGTATAGAAATAACTACGTGTGCATTAATGCATATGTACCCATATCTAAGCACTCACTCTACAGGATTAAGAAAATCTCTGAGGGCATCTGATGATAATTACTTAAGAAATTAAATTCCAGCCCTGGCCAGTGTGGCTCAGTTGGTTGGAGTGTCATCCCGTAACTGAAAGGTTGCAGGTTCGATTCCCAGCCAGGGCACATACCTAACTTGCAGGTTCAATCCTCAATCCCCGGTCCGGGCGCGTACAGAAGATAGTCGATTGATGCTTCTCTATTGCATCAATGTTTCTCTTGCTCCCTTTCTCTCTTTCTAAAAGCAGTGAAAATAAAAATGTCCTCAGGTGAGGATTAAAAAAAGAAAGAAAAAAAATTAAATTCCATTATTTGGGGTACTTAAAAAGCTTTTATTTTAGGACTGTTGTGTACCTGTAAATGCATTTCAGTCTACAAATTTTAGAACCTTGTGTGGCTTTATCATGAGCTATGAACTCTCGTTATCAATCTATAGCATACAATGTTACAACTGATCAAGGAGGCAGGCTGCTATAACGGAATCACACCAAGGGATGATTTTCCTGTGACTGAAGTTCTGAACCAGGTGTGCCCGTCCACATGGCGAGGCGCCTGCAAGACTGCCGTACAGCTGCTCTTTGGCCAGGCTGGACTGGTGAGTAAATGTGTGTGTGATGGGTGGGATTGAGAGAGTAGAGACAGATGACATTTCAAGCATGTGAGAGTGTATATGGGCTTGTGGGAAAATACTGGATAATTTTAAAAGTTCTTTGGTGCTACGGAGTTTAGACCAAATAGAAAAGGTAAAGAAAAAGCAGCATTAAAAGCCTTTTTTCCTTCTTTATAGATTGATAATATGTATTGGCAGGGAACCTAGTTGCAAAATGTTGCAAGCTTTTCCATTTTAAGGAAACCATTACATCAGTAACGATCTGAGAGGCTCCTTTGACCTGACTTGACTACTTTGGAGCTACAGTGGATGTCTTCCTGTTGTTCAAATACACCAAGCTTCTACCTGTCTTAGGCCTCTGTACTCGATGCTCCTTTTACCTGAGAATACTCCTCTCTGACTGTCACATGACTAACTTCTTCTCATCTTCCTAATGTCAGTGTAAATATCATCTCTGAGAGATCTCAGTAGTATAAGTAATTCCCCCATCCAGTTACTTTGTATCCAAGCTCTCTCTTTCCTCCTTAGCAATAAAATAACAACTCAGAAATAACTTTGGTCTTTATCATCTTTGGAAAGAATAACTTTTGCCAAAATTAGATGGGGTCAATATCCGAAGTCACCATTTAGCTCTTTGTTTGACCCTGCTTTCTCCCACCATAACCTTATGTATTTGATCCCACTTTCTAGAATTAAATGACTACTTTTTGAAAAGACATGGTATTTCAGTCAGAGGCTAAAGGAAGCTAATTAGAAATTAAGGAAATTAAACAACTGTTTCTTAGTCTAATTCCTACTTTATGAAAGTAGTTGTTAGGAGGGTGCTGTCCTTTTATTTCATGGGGGTGAAGGCTCTGGTGGCTGAACTTTGGATGGAGCTGCCTTGTAGAGGGGGCCAGCGGAGGGCCTGTCCACAGTGGTGAGTTACACTTCCTTTAGGGTCTGTTCCTTAGTATTGGAACACCTAAGAGAGGCATAAACTGGAGCCCCTCTGCTGAAGAATGGAAGAGCCCCCTGCCTTTAGGAGATTGAGTCATACTCCCAAAGACCTAGATGAAAGTAGGAGAAACATGGCAATGAGTTCTCCAGAAAGGAGCTTGCAGAATAAGGCCAAAAGACACACAGGCTCTTCTAAGGAAACATTGTAGGCTATTAAGAAAAAAAAGTTCTATGTTGTTCAAAGACCAGAAACTCCTTCCTAGGTCCCTACCACTTGATCCCAGGGTACCTTTGTAAGTGGCTGACAAAGAACCTTTAGATTATGGTTCTGGGGATGGGAGCAGAGAGGAAACACCTGCCTGGCCCAACAATGGCTATTACTTGGACAGGAAGTCTTTCCGAAGGACGTCACAGACCAGCTGTGGGAACTTTGTTTACAGCAATGGAAATTAGCTCCTTTACAGGCTGAGCTTGGAATCACAATAAGCAACTTTGCATGGTTTTATTCCTTCTAATATGTTACAAATTTGGTTTTAAAGTGTTTTGTGATTATTTTCTTAAAATCCTTTTAGTTATTTGAAAATACATTCATCGGCTTGTCAGACACTATGGAGGATACTGTATTGTCTGTGTAATGTTGAAGACTGTCCTCTAAATGAGAGGAAATCATTGAAGGGAGGGCTGATTCTTTGTCTTTCCTGAAGTAGTTCTGTTTTTATTGATGGTTGAGAATAAAATGATCTTTAAAAAAATCTTCACTTCTAGCTTGTGATTCAGCCATTACAAATGGGCTTTTTTGAAGGATTGGTTTGATTTTTTTTTGTGACATTTTTACTTCTTTCAAGCATATAAATTTAAAGAATACTAAGATAAAGGAAACAAAGTAATTCCTAACTAACATTTATAGTTTGGAAGAAGTGCCACAAGTGCTTGCAAAGTTCAGCACATCCTGTACCCAGAAGTTGGTTTCTGTTTATTGAGGTCTTAGTGTATTCCGTCATCTTTATTGCCTACTACTGTCTCCATGGGGCTCCTCACTGGCCTCTGCGTAACTGCCTTGCTGGCACAATGGTTCTTGCCAGAGTCACTTAACATCTGTAGGTTCATTTACAGGATTTGTGATTCACTTTTCTCTCCGAATGCTGATTGTTATTTTTGTTTCTCTCTTAGGTGGTAGTTGACACAGCACAGATAGAAAATAAAGAAGCCTATGCCCCCCAAATCAGTTTAGAAGGCTCCAGAATCGTGGTTCAAGTCCCTTCCACATGGTAACGTGACTCTTACATTAATACAAGCCTAAGCTCTAGTAGAAGTATGCACACCTTTGAAAAAATTGCTGTGTTGTAGACAAACCCCATGCTAGCTGACGGAACATGTGTCCTGCTTGTGCAGGTTTATGGATAGTGGCGGTGTGTTAGTGCCATGTCGTGATAACCGACCCATGAAGAGGAAGCCAAGGTGCCTGAAGCCAAGTCTCATTGACCAGTAATATAACTAAAATATTATATACTCATGAATCATAATGAGCGATATTATCTTTCTCTGTTACTGTATCCACAGCTTATAGACAGTATATCATATTCTCTAAGTCGCCCAGTGTTTCTGAAAACCTGAGTCCAGAACATAGAATTCCTTCTCCTTTGCCCGTTCCAGCAACAACCCTGCTGATCTTAAGTTCATGTGTTGTTGCAAATCGGGACAAATTGAACCATTTTTATTTTCATTTTAGTCTATTATTTTCTTTTTGAGAAAGGGGAAGGGCGGGAGAAAGGGAAAGAAACATCGATGTGAGGGAGAACAATTGATTGGTTGCCTCTCATACCCACCCTGACTGGGGATCCAACCCGTATCCTAGGCATGTGCCCCAACCAGGAGTCAAACTTGTGACCTTTTGCCCAACCAGCTGAGCCACACTGGCCAGGGCTGAACCGTTTTTATTTTTAATGATGTAATTATATTTGTAAACTTAGATAAAGTATTCTTAATTTATTAAAAACAAAAGCTCCTTCCCTGACTGGTGTGGCTCAGTGGGTTAGGTGTCATCCCACAAACCAAAAGGTTGCCAGTTTGGTTCCCTGTCTGGGCACAGGCCTGGGTTTCTATCCAGGTCCCTGGTTGAGGGTGTGCAAGAGGCAAATGATCGATGTTTCTCTTTCACATTGATGTTTCCCAAACCCTTTCTTTATCCCTCCCTTCCCCATTCTCTAAAAATAAATTAATAATTTAAAACAAAAACTCCTACAAATCAGTAAGAAAATGAGCAAGGTACATGAACAAGTAAATCAGAAAACATATGGTCAGCAAATACATGAAGAAAATGTGTAACCTCACCTAATAAAGAAGAACGAAGTAAGGAAACCATATGATGCCATTGTGCCCATCGTGTTAAATTATTTTAGAATAATAATACTACATTTTGGTGCCAGACTGTACAACAACAGGCACAGAAGTTGTTGAATAAATTACACAGCGTTTCTGGGGGGCAGTTTAATATATCATAGGCCTAAAAGACAAGATATTGACCTCAGCAGTCCCACAGTTCCTCCTGTAGGGATTTATCCAGGTGATGTCCATATGAATTCAGCTATAAGTATCAACATCATAGCTTTATCAGTAAGTAGCAAAAGTTAAGCATATATTAGAAGACTTTTGCTATTAAAATTACAATTTGAATGAACATTTAACTATTTAGGAAATATTTAAAGCATGTAGGTAGGAATAGATAGAGATAATGAAGAACAATGGCACTGTTGGCGCCTGTGTGAACTAAAGTGAGAGCTGGGTAATGCAAATCATATTTAAACCATTTCTGCTTGAAATGTGCAAGTCCAGTGGTACATCCTGCCGAAAGTTTTAGAACCAGTTGATAGATCGAGTAGGGGTTGGCCATTCACATCCTGTCCCTAAATCTCCCATCTATGAGTTTCTCCCCCACCAAAATTTTTAATTTGATTATTTATATCATATACCATTTCCTGAAATGAACAGTAATTTACATACATATTTTTATTCCTATCAAACAATAAATTTAAAGCTCACTTTTCTGTAAGATTTTTGTGTTCCCGAATTTTTAATTTGTTTTTCAATTCAAGTTCTTACTGGGAAATATTTACTTTAACCTGGATTCTCATTTTGAAGAAAACTTTTGGATAACTGGGTGAATATAAACAGCTAGTACTGAAATTGTTAACACTTCAGTTTACTTTCAAAACTGTATGGTTGATTTCCTTTGTAATTCATTGTACCTCCATGAAAGACCTTCTGCACTACGATTCCTTAGAGAAGCTCCCTCTGCTGGCTGCTTTTGGTAAAAATACAAAGTTTTCTTTTGTTGTTATTTCTTTCAAATTATGAAATATGTGCTTGTTGATACAGACAAACTCAGAAGTAATTATTCCACCTTCAGGAAAATTAAATGGTTAGCAAAGTCAGTCAAGAATTTATTATATCCTTTGCTGCCAGACTTTTTTTTCCAAATGAACTAATACTTTACTTAGATTTTTAAATTGTCATACTTAAGCTATTGATTTTTCTTTCAACAAATACTAAATACCTACTGTGTGAAAGACACTGCCTGGGCTCCAGTAATTTAATCATGAGCAAGAAAGACAAGGTCCCTGCTCCTAACTGATCTGACTTTGTAATGGGGACTGGGAGGAAAGAGCTAATAAGCATAAGATTAAGTTCAAACACTAGCAAGTGTATGAAGGGAATAAGAGTAGAATGATGTCATATGAAAGAGAATAACAGAGGTAGAGATGGGTAAGGGAGGCTATTTTGGATGAGGAGGTCAGTCATGAAAGGCCTTTTTGAGGATGTGACATTTAAGAGGAGCTGGCCATGCCGAGAGTAGATGGGGAAAGCATTCCAGGCAGAAGGAACAGCAAAGGCCTGAGGAACAGCCCAGCATGGCTGGAAAGAGATGGTAGGTGATGATGAAGGGAGTGGGGGTGGGAGGCGATTTGTAGAAGCCAGGACTTGCAGGATCCCTAAGAGACTTGGGTTTTTATCTAAGAAAAAGTAAAAGATTTTAAGCAAGTCTGAAGGATCTGTGAAAACAATGGGTTTAGTCTCTTAAGGGCACTGCTCTCAAGACTGATAAATAAAATAAAAATGCCAATTTGTTGATTTTCAGAAAGAGAAACTATTTTCACAGGAGCTGTAATACTCCTTTCTGCATGATCAGCAAACGCTCTCCTCTTGGATAAACCTATGTGACTAAGCCAAATCATAAGGAGAAGTTGGCTTGGGAGGACAGAGCAAGTGTGTCCTAATAACAGCGATTTCAGGCTGAGAGAATTTGGTGCATGAACCTTGGCCAAGTCCACTGGCCCAGATTCTCTCCCAGGAGCCCTGGGGCTAGTGGGGCACAGTCAGAGCTTGCCTTATTGCCTTTCCCAGTGTTCCTGAAATTGGCCAGCTCACAGTCTTACGGATGTATTTCTCATGCCAAAGTCATGTTGGAGAGCGCTGTTTGTTGTCTTCTTAGGGTAGCTTCACAAGTGTTGCTAAAATGGGAGCAGAGAATTGGGAAAAGATCTGGAGGGAAATGTGAGGTGAAGAGAAGGTGGTTGGTAAGACTGGTTTGTTTGCCAAAGTGATTAACATAGGGGAGAGATGGGGTGATTGCATGAGAGAGGTCCTTGGGAAAGCAAGAAGGTGGTCTGCAGCACTCAGGGGGAGGTCAGCCTGTGGTAAGAGCAGGGCCTGTGTTCTCCTGGGACAGGAAGATTTGCAGGGTGTGTGGGCAGGGTCGCAGGTGAGGTGGTGGAATGGGGAGATGGAGTAGATCTGGTGTTTATGTGTTTCTCAGTTAAGTGACACTTGAGATCAGATAAAATGAGTGAGATGTTTGGGATAACAGAGCTCCGAGGAGAGACAAGGAGGAATGGAACAGTCACCTTGGAAGAGGAAAACATTAACTATGGGAAGGTCGTGTTCATTGCTTACCTGAAATTTGCAGTGAGTCCAGGGGCACATACTGTAAAGGTTTTTTCCCTTAGTCGATCCTCAGTTTCTTGGGTACAGGTGTGAAATGCTATAGAGGAAGGGAGGGGCAGGGGTGTCAAGGAAAGAGTTTGCATATGTGTAGATATTGTGCCAGACCATAGAACCTCAGCAGCGTACAGAGGAAAGTTAGGGCTGGAGCCAGTGTTGGACAGTGAGAGGACAGTAGGGACTCTAGATAGAAATCCATGGACAACCCTGGCTTGTGTGGCTCAGTGGATTGAGTGCCAGCCTGCACTCAGTCCACCGAGGGGTTGCCGGTTCGAGTCCGAGTCAGAGCACATGCCTGGTTGCAGGCCAGGTCCCCAGTAGGGGGCACTCAGGAGGCAACCACACAGTGATGTTTCTCTCCCTCCCTTCCTCTCTCTCTAAAAATAAATAAATAAAATCTTTTTAAAAAAGAAGTCTACTCCAGATCCTATTGCCTCCTTCTCCTCTTGCAGAGCAACAAGTTTTAGTGTTGGTCCTGTCATTTTCTAAATGTTCTTATAATTACTGAATTTTTATTCAGAAGTACATAAAAATTGTAGCCTTTTGTATGAGGCCTGCTTGAAACACCTTGGTAGAGAAGTGCAGCTCAGGCTAACTCAGTGTGGTTTGTGCCTAGGTGCCTGAAAGAAGACCCTGCCACCATGTCCCTGCTGCAAAGAAGCCTGGATCCTGAGAAGACCCTGGGTCTTGTGGACGTACTTTACACGGCTGTGCTGGACCTCAGCCGCTGGAGGGCAGGGAGGTTGGTGTCTCCTCCAGTCACTTGAATTGGTTTGCATTCAGGTCCACCCCAAGGGACAGTGTAACCACATATAGTTTCATGTGTGCTCATGTCACTAATAGTATGTGAGTATGTAAGATAAGAAAGAAAACGTTTTGGTAACTTTTTATTTTGGAATAATTTCAAACTTACAGAAAAGTTACAATAGTCCAGAGAATTGCTCTGTGCCCTTTACTCATACTCTCCATTTTGTTAACATTTTGCCTTCATCTGTTTTATCATTTTAGAGTAAGTCCATCAAAAGGATTTTTAACCCAGTTCGTATACTCTTTATGAACTAGGAGCAAAGCAGTGTTTAGAAAATACTGCATGAACTTTATTTATATCTGAAAGCAGCTGACAGTTGCGAGATTATCTCCTTGTGAATTGTTATCCTTAGAATGGGTAGGGACCTTAAACATCTAGCCATGTGTCCCACCTCTTTTCTTAATACATGAACACAAAGAGGCCCAGAACAGTGAGGTAGCTTATCCAAGGTTGCACTAGCCATCACCCAGCCTAAGCGCCTACCCAGTGCCCTATCTCTAGGGCTCTCTTTCAGCACTGAAAGTGAATACTCGAAAATCTTTGGAAGTAACAACCACACATTAATCTTAGCACTGTGTATAAATTACTTCTGAGGACAACAGTGCTGCCTAGTGTCCCTGAGTCCTGCCCAGGCTCTCCTCTTTGCTGTGTAGATTTGTCCATTGTCCCTCTACTGGATCTGCCAGACTCAGTCTCTGTTCTCCAGGCACACAGCAGGCCTCTGCCAGTTGCTAGCGGGTATCCCTCTAGCTGTGCTCTGCTTTCCTGTTCTGTGGTTAGAGAGTTTTGCTCAAACTCCTCAGGCCAGAGTCTTAATGTAGTTTTCACAGCACTTTGTTAGACTCTGTTGATTTCTTTGTAATAAATGTAGATAGCAAGTACTTAAATTATGTACATGTAAAACTCTCGGGTGTTTATCTATAAAATAAGTGAACCTAATACCACCCCATGAGATCATTTTTGTTCTTAAAGTCTTTCTAAGAGATCCATTTCATTGTCCAATTTGCATATTTGTCTTTTAAAAAAAAATACATTTCTGTTTAAATAGGGAACAAGCTTTACCCTGCATTCAGATCCAGCTCCAAAGGGAGATCTGTGATTTTGGGAACCAGGCTGACCTGCCTTCTGGAAATGGAAACAAACCTTCAGGTGGTCTGCAGAAGACATTCTCCAAACTGACATCCCGGTTCACCAAGAAAGCTTCATGCACCAGCTCTAGCAGCAGCACAAATTATTCCATCCTAACTACACCTTCCAAAAACATCTTCATAGCTGGGTGTTCAGAAGAGAAAGCCAAAATGCCCAGTAATATTGATTCAAGGTTACAAAGCATTTTGAACATTGGTAATTTCCCTAGGACTATAGACCCTTCACAGTCAGCTCAGAATTCCAATAATCAAATGGCCAATGGTTTTCTCATGGAGCGACGTGACAACTTTCTGCAAGGGGATGATGGCAAGGACGAGAAGGGTATGAACTTACCAACCGATCAGGAAATGCAGGAAGTGATAGATTTTCTCTCGGGCTTTAATATGGGCCAGTCACATCAGGGCTCCCCATTAGTGACAAGGCGTAATTCTGCTGCTACAGCCATGGTGACTGAACAGAAGGCAGGAGCCATGCAGCCACAGCAGCCACCACTGCCTGTGCCCCCTCCACCGCGGCCTCCCCAGGCTGGGGCACACACACCTCTGACACCCCAGCCAGGCCTGGCGCCACAGCAGCAGTCCCCAAAGCAACAACAACCCCAGGTCCAATACTACCAACACCTGCTCCAACCCATTGGACCACAGCAGCCCCCACCCCAGCCTCGGGCTCCTGGAAAATGGGTACATGGCTCATCCCAGCAGCCAGCACAGCCTGTTGGAGCGGGTCTGTCTCCTCTTGGCCAATGGCCTGGCATATCTGATCTCAGTTCTGACTTGTACAGCTTGGGTCTGGTGAGCAGCTATATGGATAATGTGATGTCAGAGGTTTTGGGACAGAAGCCACAGGGACCTAGAAATAATACCTGGCCAAACCGTGACCAAAGTGAAGGAGTCTTTGGAATGCTGGGAGAGATTCTGCCTTTTGATCCTGCAGGTACGTGAGTCCCCTTCCACACCTCAGGGTTTTAACATAAATGTAGTCATTGAGGACTTCATAGGGCCGGACTGCCATAGCCTTACTTGTAAGGGAAAGTGACTTTAAAGACCCTTTCTCACTGTCTGATGGCAAATATGGGGCAGATCCAGCAAGGCATGAAGCAGTGAGAATGAGGCTGAAAAGGTAAGTAGAGCTCTTTTCATCACGGTACAGAGGGCAGGATTGAGGCATAAGAAAAGTTACTTGAGTGGCTCAAATTCCAGTCTGGGCGAGGCCTCCCATTCATGGGAGCTAAGACAGCTGGCCCTTTGTGGGCTGCTTTTTTCTTTTCTGTGATTCTTCTTTGCCTAAATTCTAGGACCTATGAAAGGTGGTAGGGTACCCTCCTGCCTTCATAGAATATGGCTTCTCCTGGCCTAGACAGTGTGAAAATACCACCTGAGTTATCTTAGGAAATTAGAAAAAGAACTTAGAAACACAACAAAAATAGGAGGAGGAATTAATTACCACAATTAATTAAGAACCACAATTAATTTTTTAAAAAACATAGTAAAAATTGTTAATACATCTTAAAAGAAAGGTCTTTGGAGGACCAAAAAAATAAACCTACTTATTATAAGCCTGATTAAGAGACAACAAAGAGAAACAAGATTAGGAAAGAAAAAGGAGACAGAACTACTACAAATACAGTAGAGACTAAAAGAACTTTAAGACATTACTACATATGAGTTGATGACAACACATTTAAAAACTGAATGGAAAATGGATTCTTTCCTAATAAAATATACATTAGTAAAATTGTACCAAGAAGTAGAAAACTTGCCTGGATCTATCTCAGTAGAAGAGATTGGAAAGGTAATTATGAAGCCAACATGATTTTTATCATAAAAACTTCATGAGGATTATATAAAAAGCAAACTATAATGCATCTTAATGAGTATGGATAGATATGAGAAAATCCAGCAGTGCATAAAAAAAATAATATGTTACTAAACCTGGTTTACTTCAGGGGTGTAATGTGGTTCAGTATAAGGAAACTTACTACTGTACAGTAATTCATCAGATCAACCAATTAGGAGAAAAACTCACATAGCTATAGGTGTTGTGAAGGCATTTAATAAAAGATAGCAATTCTTAAAAATTGAACAAATCCCTCAAAGTAAAATATGAGTAAAAGGAAATTTCTTAAATGTAAAAAAGACTACCGAAGGCCAGTAGAAAGTAGCACTTTGTATAGTAAAACAAAATTCCAGTTAAAATCTAGATCCAGATGGGGTGGCAATGTTACTACCAACAGCATGTAACTTTGTCTTGAACTTTCTAGCAAATACACAAGACAAAAAAACAAGGGAAATAAGAGCTATAAGCTTCAGAAAAGGATAGATTATAAAGCACATCTCTGCTGGCAATAGAATTGGAAAAAACAAGACTCAGTAAAAAAAAAGACAAACTAGAATGAGTAAGTGAATCTGGTAAGGTGGGCAGAGGCAAGATAAATATATAGAAATTAATCACTTTTTTTCTCTCATTTAGCAAAAGATACACAGAAGTGGAAAATATATTTTATTCATAAGGAGAGTACTGTGAAATATTGTAAATAAGTATAGTGAATATCTACATAACCACCAGGAGAGGAGATTCCCTAATAAAACAACCCAGCATTAACTGTTGTTAAAGGGCAGAAATGTTTTCTTACATCTAAAAATTTCAGGCTGTTGCTCGTGCTTTCTTGTTCTTGCTCTCCTTGGGTGAGTGGATGTGGGGAACCTTGTACCCTGGGGTACAGGAAGGGCAAAGAGTTACACTTGCTATGGAGGAACAAGCCCACCTTGGCACTTACTGGACTAGGCATGGCACATTTTCTTGAGTGCCAATAAACAGCATATATGTTTTTTGATGGTCATGTAATTAAACCAGAGTATAGATGGTATTTGGCAGCATTATATTACTGTTGATACCTGTTGAGGCCCAGACAGGCTTTATATCCTTAGCTTGCAGATCCTACCAGCTTTTCCTTCTGGGTATTCCTTTCTGACCTTCAAGTCTTTAATGTAGCTTTCTTCAGACCCTGCCCCAAGGGCACTTGATTAGACAGGTGAATTACAGAAGGTACCCTCTGGACAGGCGCACACAGCCCCTGGAGGCCTGGCTTGATTCGTGGGATGGCCTTGATTTCAGCCCCTACTCTTCAATCTTGCAGAATGGCCTGGTTTTATGCAGTGCTCCTATGGTAGTGCCCTGAGAACAAGCTAACAATGGGATTGTGCTCTGGTATCTTTCTCATCCTGAAGCTAAAATGTAATCACTGTTGAGTCATACTCAGTTTGTGACCCATAGATATTTTTCTGCTATAACTTTTTGTTTGGCTCTCTCTAAATACTTTCTGTGCTGTTTTTTCTCCCACTTTTACTGCCCTGCACATCCTTACTCAGCTCTGTCCAGTATGTTTCCAGCCACCTCTTCACACATTCTGAAATTTCATGTTATTCATTATCACTCTTATTATCTTCAGACTAATGAGTAGGTTTTCCATCCATCATCCAGGAAGATATTTGATCAGAGTTGGACCTGAGCGGGAATGGCATATATTCTCTATCTGGCTGATCCCGATGCTTTGATAACTTCCAGGTTATCAGTTGGCTGAAGTCATCCTCTGATTTTCCAAGTTGTTATGTATGTAGCATTAGCCCTTGGAAATTTTAAAAATATTTGTCTTAAATATTTAGTCATGGATAAAACAAACCTTTTGTGTTCTGTTTTTCTGTCTTCTTTTCATACTGAGGCTGAGTCTGTCCCGGGCATAAACCTTCCTGACAGTCCCTATGCACACATCATACGTGAACTTCAGATCTGTGCGCTGAAAGCCTCATCTCACCATTGCACACTGCTAGGCAAATCCTGCAGGCTGCTCTGGGCCACAGGCCTGGCAGTTCCTCACCACTATTCACTGTATGTGACCACATCCTCAGAAGGTAGTAAATGAAACAAGACAAATTTGGCTCCAAACTCTTGTTAATCCTCTGTCTTAACACAGTGGGTTCAGACCCCGAGTTTGCGCGCTATGTGGCTGGAGTGAGCCAGGCAATGCAGCAGAAGCGGCAGGTCCAACACGGTCGCCGCCTAGGCAACCCCCGAGGACACTGGCCACCCACAGATGATGCCCATCGGACCTGGCCTTTCCCAGAATTCTTCACAGAAGGGTGAGTGCTGGGTGTGGCAGTAAAGCTGAGTTTGGGATCTGGGCGTCCCCCAGGGGGCCTTTGTGTACTCTTATCAAGCAATTCAGTTCCAAGCCTGGCTGTCAGAGTGACACATGGTCAAGTCTTCAGGGGTTCAGAGTTCTGTGATTGACTGAGGGATGCCAGGTGGAATTACGAATCTCTGCAAACACACCGCTGATGTAAAACTGATTTTCAAGACAGACTCTTCTGCCCTAGACAAGGATCTTATTTGATAGTGTTTGTAAAGTAATTGCATCTTTAACATAGTTTTTATGCTGAAATGAGCATGTCAGTGAATCCCATGGGATTTATGAACTGTGATCCTTATAGCCTACAAAAGGCAATGGTATATGGTTCAGATTCCAATATATGGGGAGAATTGTGGACTTTCATCATTTAAGACAACTGGGGATTGATTTTGCACATCTCTTATTGTTACCTGGTTAACAAATCTGGACAGGTAAAGACCACATCAACTTTTCGTTTGCTCTAAAATGAATTTCATATGTAAACCACATGCTTCTGAGAGGAATAAAGGACAGTGATGCATGTGTATTACAGTTGACCCTTGAACAACACAGGGGTTAGGAACACCAACCTGCCGTGCATTTGAAAATCTGCAAGTAATTTAAGTTGGCTCTCCATATATATGGATTCCTAACCATGGATTGAAAATACAGTTGGCCTTGAACAAAACAGGTTTGAATTGTGCAGTTCCACTTACATGCAAACCTGTGTGTAAGAAACAAGAAACTACTATCCGGTTGTGAGATGAGCACAGGGTAAAGACTGTTCTTTTAAAGCTTGGGTGGGGGGTGGGGGCTGGCCTCAGGCTGTCCAGCCATCGTCTGGGCTGGCTAGCAGAGGCCTGGGACAAGCTTCTCTCTTTGGCTTTCAGGGATGGCCTGCACAGTGGCTGGTCGGGTACTCAGGGAGACTCAGCCAGCTCGAGTGATGAGACGTCCTCCGCCAATGGAGACAGCTTGTTCTCCATGTTTTCAGGGCCTGACCTCGTTGCTGCTGTCAAGCAGAGAAGGTATGAAGAGATTTCTAAATCACAGGACAGAAGGGCACATGAATGTGATCCATAGCTTATTCCTCTGGAAAACTCAGGAGTCCCACTGTTCCCAGATGGCCTTGTGCGGAAAAGACAGAGGGCCTTTTCCAGCAGTGTCTTGCTGAGGCCTCTGTGGGGCCACCACACAGGCTTGTAGTCCAGGTGACTTAACATTAGGTTGAGTTTTTGCTGGCAAAACAATCTCATGCTAGTGGTAGCCAAAAAATACCAGTATGTCAGACAAGGGAGGATTCCGAGACAGGATCTGCTGATATTGGTTTGTGCCCTGGCAGCCCTTTGTGTGGAGAGAGCAGAACCAGGACAACCAAGTTCTAGTCAGGACTCACAACAGGCTTTGTAGCCCCAAACAAAGACCTGGCCTGGACTGACCCTCAATTTCTTTGTCAAAGGTGGATCTGGATAAAATGACCTCTGAATGACATTTCAAAGTTGAATGAAATAGTAATATAGTATATTCAGACCTAAGAAGTTTTCAAAAGTAGTCACAAGTTAAAATGGGCCCTGAAATAGGAGAATTCGGTTACAAGGAAGTAGGGAGACTGTGTGGATGCGAGCAAGTGAGGACCAGAGGGGGCAGGCTAAAGGATGTGGGCAGGAAGTACCACGCAGGGCTGCCTGGGCATGAAGTCATGTGGAGTGGAAAGGGAGGCCAGGTTACATGGCCTTTGTATGATGGGGTCAGGCTTTGATGGATAAGCAATGGGGAGTGGGTAGATGAAGACAGAAGGGCACCTGAGTCAGGATGCCCCGAGTAGTAACAGTTGTGATGGCAGCGATTGCTAATACAAACTAGAGCACTTTCTGTGGGGTGGGCCCTGGGTAAGCATTTATGTACATTTTCTCACTCAATTCTCACACCCACTATATTTATTTGCTAGGGCTGCCATAACAAAGTACCATAGACTAGTACTAAACTTTTGTACTTAAACAACAAAAATTTATTTTCTCACAGTTCTGGAGGCTGGAAGTCTAAGATCAACATGTCAGAACAGTTGGTTTTCTCCGAAGCCTCTCTCCTTGGCCTTCTCCTTGGGTCCTCACATCATTGGCCCTCTGTGCATATCTGTGTCCTAATCTCTCTTTATAAGGACACCAGTCATACTGGATTAGAACCTACCCTAATGACTTCATTTTAACTTAATTACTTGTTTAAATGCCTTATCTCTGAATACACTCACAGTATGAAGTACTGGGAGTTAGGAATTCAGCATATGAATTGGGGGGTCAACATAGGAGTTGAGGGGGTGACACAATTCAGTCCATAACAATCACCTTATTATATAAGTACTGTTTTACTCCCAATTAACAGGTGAAGAAACTGAGGCTCAGTTAAAATCATTCATTCATTCATTCATTCATTCATTCATTCATTAGCAACTATCATGTACCAGCCAGGCACTGGTGATGTAGCAGCAAACAAAACAAAGTTCTTTTTCTTGTGGAATTTATATTCTATTGCAGGAAGGCAGATTTTTAAAAAATAGGTCAGATTAGATTAGATGCTGTAAAGGAAAATAAAGGGGGAAAAAACCCTTTTGAGAGCAGAAAGTGCAGGGGCTAGGTGGATTTTTCTTCTTTCAGAATGAGAGTCAGGGAGGCCTCTGATGAACAGAAGCCTGAACATAGTGAGGGAGCAACTGATGAGGTATTGGCAGAGAGAAAAACCAAGGATGATAGGCAAGTTTTTGGCCTGAGCATCTATCTGTGTGAAAGGGGGGTCCATGAACCAAGACTGGCAGGGCCCCAGATGAAGCAGGATGGAGCCAAGGGTGGAGTTCAAGACTTCGCTTTGAGACGTGGGAACTTATAAAGGGCAATCAGACATCCAAGAAGTCACCTGTAGCACCACCTCTGCAGAGACTGCTGTCTGCATGCAGGAGTGCTGATAGACTGATTTCCTGGCTCTAAGCCTACTATGTCCTGTCTTTTTCATTCAACACTGTAACAAATTTGTGAAACTTAACAGCTCTTTAGTTTTTAGTCACAGTATCCACACTGCATGGTAAATAATCAGTATCTGTTGAATAAATTAGAAGGCCAGAGCTGGTAGACTCAGGGCAGTTGACACAGCCAGTGCCTGCCCTCATGCCTGCCACCCCTTCCCTACCCCAGCCCTGTGATGGCTTTGGGAGTGCAGCACTTGATGGTGACTCACCTTATCCCCCTGCACACTGTGTACCCAAGCCCCAGCCCCCCCTCCCATCTAGAACGAGTGCCCCAGACTCCAGAGCCAAGGGGATAGAGTGCCCTCTGGAGGTAAGCTGGGCAAGAAGCCAGGCAACCATTGCACTGAGCTCTTGGTTCTTTTCAGGAAACACAGCAGTGGAGAGCAGGAGACTAGCACGCTGTCCTCGCCGCCTCTTCTTACCACAGTGGAGGACGTAAATCAGGTATTGTGGGCTCTGCTCTGGCCATGGAGGGCAGGCTGTATAGGATACAGACCATGAGCAGGATTCCAAAGCTGAAGTTTTAAGAGGACCTCAAAGAAATGATGGGTTCTTGCTTGTAGTGAACACCTTTTTTCCCTCCCATGATTCTGTCTCAGTGATTAACCAGCTCAGCTGACTCAGAGCCACATGTAGAAGAAGCTCTGGGACTATGCTGTCCATTATGATAGCCACTAGCCACATGTAGCTATTTGAAATGAAATTAATTAATTATAAAATTGAGTTCCTCGATTGCACTAGCCATAACTGGTCAGTGGCTGCTGTATTGGACATTGCAGACAGAACACTTCTGTCCCTGCAAGTTCTGTTGGACAGTGCTGTTCCAGGGCTATGGGAAAGGGAGAGGTTCTCATCCTGACTCCTAGGTCAACATCGGGCTAGAGACTGGGGAGGTGGGAAAGGAGATAAATTGCCAGAAATGCCACTAAGAACCTTCTTCTGTTTCTCAGGATAACAAAACCAAAACATGGCCACCCAAAGCACCCTGGCAACACCCTTCGCCACTGCCCAGCACACTACCCAGCCCAAGCGCACCACTCTATGCAGTCGCCAGCCCTGGCAGCCAGTGGAATGACACCATGCAGATGCTGCAGTCCCCGGTGTGGGCTGCGACCAGCGATTGCAGCGCCGCCTCCTTCACCTACGTGCAGACCCCACCGCAGCCCCCACCCCCACCAGCACACAAGGCAGCACCCAAGGGCTTCAAAGCCTTCCCTGGGAAGGCTGAGCGCAGGCCTGCCTACTTGCCCCAGTACTGACCCAGGCCAGCCTGTCTGCCTGCCCAAAGCTGTTGGGGCCAGTGTCCCCATCCCAGGGCTGACTACCTGGCACCATCCCCTCAGAGGACCAGTGCACCCCTGTCCCAGGCAGGGATCCTTGGGGATGGGGGTGGTTGGCAGCTCCAAATCTTGAAGGCCTGGCTTCTTAGACTTTGGAGGCATCAGACAGACCCCTGGAGGGCCAGCCGAAGACAGGTCTCTGACCCTCCTCAGGGAAATGCTGGGATCTTTGGGCTTAATAAGCACTTCCAGTGATTCTGATGCAGTTGGGTCAGAGGCCACACTCTGAGAGACACAGCTCTCAAGTTTGTAGTCCCACTGTGTTTGCTGCGAAGGCATCAGGCCTGAAGGCTGACTGCAAAACTGACCATTCTTCTGAAACCTTCCCTTTAACATACTGAGTGATGACCATACTAGTCACTGTATTTTATAGCTATTTTTCATATAGGTTTTTAGTTAAAACATCTCCTGCCTAAAATGCATTGAAGTTTTTAAGGTAACAAATATAGTAGCTGGAGGTTTGTTCAACACTATTTTTATTTAAGCTTGTACAAAATGGGCAACACAGAGAATATTTGTGCTCAGAAGCAATCACGTAGGTTTTCTGTGTGGGCAGCCCTTCACCACCCCGGCAACACCCAGGGGTTGCAGCCTTTATCGGACTTACAAAAGCAGCATCATAAAACTGATGTCGGAGGCATATTCCTGATGGTGCATGGAGGTGAGTCAGCTGGCTGCTGTCTGTGTGGGATAAAGATACACCTGTTGCCCTCCGATCCTTCCACACATGGCCAGAGGCTTCAATATAGTCTCAAATGTGGGGTGTGGTCAAGGGGCTGCACAGAAACACCTGCACTTGAAATTGCAGTAACTTTTGTGAGCTGGCTCAAGACAAACCAATTAAAATGTAGATAGGAATTAATTTAAAGTATTTTCTTACAAAAAAAAAAAACACCTCATTTTCAGTTAACATGTGCCATTATATAGATAACACCCTGTGGATTTAGGGATATTTTCCAGCCAGAATGGATCCAGAAGAACTGAATGGTGCTTAAATTGAGAAATAATAATAAATATATCTATATAGAATAGATATCCCATTGTATATTAATTGAGGTTACAGAAGTTCTTTATATAAAACTTATTTAAATTTTTCATATTTCATCTTTGAAAAAGTCTAATTGAGAAAAATCCATAATATTTTCTGGTATGAAAGTTTGACAGTATTAATATTTTTTTTATATTTTCTTAAATCATTAAACCATTTTAATATATGTTAACTACTAATAAATGGTTTATTCTTTCTAACTCCATATAACCTTTTCCAGCAAAGATTGTAATAACACATTTATGTTCTCATTTTTCTACAGATATAAGTAAATTTATATTTAAAAATACCAAAAAAGAAAAAATATATATATGTATGTATACACATTAAGTATAGAGGGCCCTTAGGGTGTCTGAGCCCAGCCATCCGACTTTCTAGTACTGTGTTGCCAGGCTCTTTCCAGGCCTTGGGTGTTGTCTTGTGCTGTGTGGAGATGCCATAGCTGCCTGTACTTATGATCCTTTCACCGTGGGTTCTGAACATTCACCTCACCATGTTTACAGAAAACGATTTTGTACATAGACTTTTTCAGGCACGTGCTTTGCACCAACCCTGCGTGGCTCTTGTCTGTGTTAGCTGTCACAGTGTGTGCACTAATCTCTGTTGAAATTGTCTGTGGCTGTTTGACTTGTAAGATAGTTTCCGGTTCCCTTCAGTAATGTGTCCACAATACCCTGTATTTCGAGTTCTGTTAGACTGAAGTACTCTTGTTTTAATAGTGCCTCCCCAAGGCCTCACCCTGGTCAGAGGTCAGTCTTTGATGCCCCAGCACAGCTGACATCGACATTGCTGATTGTCCCATTCTAGTCTGTTTTTTCTAAGACATTTGTAATTACATCTCCATGGGCCGTGAGATTGTGTGAAGCTGTTTGTGTAGTTTCCTGGTAGGCGCTGTGTTCTCAACACCGCCTTGCTCTGAACACTGGTAATTCCAGGTGCTGCGTTTGGCAGGGGAGTCTCTGCTAAACGCGTGCGTGTGCATGCGTGTGTGTGTGTGTGTGTGTGTGTGTGTCCTTTGCGTGGCCGGGCATGGCTGCCTTGCTCAGGCATCAGCAGGACATTGTGTGAATAGTTACAATGCTTCCAAACTGGAACTCTACATTTTGTATCTTACTTTTAAAGCTCCTATAAGTAAATTAACTATTGGCTTTATTAAAAATATACATTTAATAATATATTTTGTATGTCTGTTTAAAATGAACTGGAACAGACACCATGTCAAAAGCCCTGCCTGACTCATTACTTTGAAAAGCTGCACCTGAGTTGGTTTTTCGGTCAACCTGTCATCTGATTCTGAGACCTTGAAAGGGAAAAGACCACTGAGGGTATGGGGTGAACTGGGGTGGGTGAGCAGGAAGTAAGACAGCGTACCACACCTCTCCTGCTGACTTCCCTAAGGCCAAAGCTGAGGCCCTTGCGTGGGCAGAGCCAGTCTCTTCACCCGGAAGGATGCAAGCGCTCTCCATGCGTTGTAGTCTGCCAACACCCACATTCCACCAAGCATGTGCACTATCAGCTGCCCAGACAGCCCTTCCAAGGAGCAGACGCAAGGATGAGGTCTCCCACCACCCCTCCAAGGACCCTATATGTGGCAGAGACCCTACCTCAAAGGGACAAGAAGTAGTCTCACTGGATGACACCATCCTGCTAACCAGAATAGATTGTACATTGCGAACCACAACTAGAGGTTGTGTTTACAGAGGAATTTCAACCCATTTTTATTCACAGCAAGACAGCACTTGATTGGAACTTTTTCTCATGAACTTAGGAAAACAGTATGTGAGCATTAATATATAATCTAAGTACCATTCATGCTTCTTTCTGCTGAGATTCCCAGAAGCTGAGCATGCTGACCTGTTCCTCCGGACAAGGTTACTTAATAACAGCCATGTTGCATGAGTGTGTTGAGGAAAGTCCATATTAAAAGCTAGATGAAAAAACATATTCAGCCAAGCACACTCCTATTTAACACGACTACCCAGTGCTCTTCACTGACCTGATTCACAATAGTGGTGGAAGTAGCAGTCTTGTAGCCCTGGCATGTGCTGGGTGGGTAGGGATGGAAGCAGAACAGATGTTACACCTGAGCCCCTGAAGGGTCCTTGGAGGCCTTAGCCCAGCTGAGAAATAGAGGGGGCACATGGCAGGTGAGATCCTTGTGAAGCTATGATACTGCCCTCTCACTTGGGAGATCCTGGGTAGGGTGTCCAGCTTAGAAGTGCAGCCGAAATGCCAATGGGCAACCATGGCCCTCTACTGTGGTCCCTGTTGTGATCTGCTTCCTGATGTGGAGAGAATGAAGAAATAAACTATTCCAATGGCCAGCTACTTAACAGCCTAAACGCCCTGCGTGTGGACAGCATGTCTAGCAGACTCCCAACCATATGTGCCTGGGAGCATGAGGAACCTCCAGACGCAAGCTCCTATAAGTAACACATAGCTGGCCTTGTGCTTCTGCAAGGACAGACTGGCTGGGCCGAGGCTTCTGTGTATCTGTGAAGGGACTGGATGTGTCTTTTATTGGAAATGAGTTGGGGATATTGGGCTGAGGAGAAAGGATTGTTTCAGGAGTGTCATCTTCATTTCAAAATTTACTAATGTCAACTAGGAGCCAGGGCTGCAAAGGAAGTGTAATCTCTGCCCTAAAACTCATTTTTTTAGGGGAGATGACCCCATCTTTCCCATCAAAGATCCATCCACTCAGTTTCTTGGGCATAAATCCTAGAAGACAGTCTTGACTTTCTTTAGTCTCTTCATTTGATTAATCAGGAAGTCCCATAAGTATATCTTTACATGCAGTTAAATTCTACCATGTTCTTACATCTCTATTGCCATCAACCTGGTCCTCACCCGGCTCTTGCTCTCCCTCTCTGGCTTCAGGGTTTTCCTTGCACCCCCACTACCTCCACATCACCTTGCCTGGTGGGGTGTCCACCTGCCTGTTGCTCCCAGGACTACTCCCTGCTCAAGGCCTCTCCCATCAGTTCTGTTGGGCCAGGGGCCAGCCTCTACCTGGCTTTGTTTTTCCTTACAGCACTTAGCACTGCCCTGGAATCAGGTGTTTGCAATTATTTGTCCCCCACTAGATCCAAGGCTTCATGAGAGGAAGGAGCAAGTCATTCATAGCCACATGTCCAGGTGCAAAGCAGCAGGCAGCAACTCCACACAGGCCAGAAAAAAGGAAGTGTTGCTGGGACCAGAGGCAAAATTGTAACACAGAGCAAGAAAGACTTAAGATGAAATTGCCTCTCATTTAGGACTAAAATACATGATGACCAGAGTTTGTACTACAACCTCAAGGACAGAATGACATTAGGAATTGTGGATATGACTGAGTATCCCTTTAGTAAGTATAGTGTTTTCTATTCTTGTGGAAACCCATGCCGCCAATGTGTGGCGGGGGGTTTTTTTGTTTGTTTTTTGTTTTTTTTGTTTTGTTTTGTTTTTAAGACCTAACAATGGATTCACACAGAAAACCTGGGGCGACGTCCCAACATCCCAAAGCATCACGGTTACACAGCGCGAACTCCCGTCCCCTGAGGGCGCTGACGTCCCCTCGCGTGTCACTCCTCGCGTGTGTGCGTCCATCCGCACGCAGAGTATGCGCACACGCGCGCACACATCCACCCCAAACGTGCGGACAGAGGCGTTTGCGAGTGCGCTTCTCTGCAAGCCCCGCTCCCGACTGGGCTCGGGAACATTCGCACACGTGCACTCCGGACCTGAGGGCCTACACGCAGCCGCCTGCGCACCCCCGCCCCCTACCTGCCCGAATCCCGCCTGCCCGGTTTGTAGAGACGTGCGCACCACCCTTCGGGAGAGTGGGTTGCCAGCGCCAGGAGCTGCGGGGAGTTCTAGGGAGTCACGGTGCCGTAGCCCTCGCCTGCTCACCATGACTCAGCATCCCCGGTGGGTGCGCCTCTCTGGAACAGGAACAGGAACAACTCAAGAAAATTAATCGGGGTGGATCCCCTCGCACCCGACATCCCGCGGGCTTCCTCAACTCAGGCCCCAAAACAACCTCCACAACCTCCAGACCCCGCCCCCAGTCCCTCTCCCTCTACCACCACCCAGTGACCCCTTGGCTTCCAGGGTCCTGCCTGACTCTGTCCAGTACCCCAAATTAAGGGCTGACTTACCTAAGTGCCGAGGCTTCAGTTTCCCCCATTTGTAGCACAGGGCTCTGGTTTGGAACATTGCCCCCGTAGGCTCAGCCAGCGCCAGTTTTGCAAATATAGAGCGGAAGCCAAAATTGCGCTAGGCTCTGAAATTCCTTATTTGCCCCCGCTTTCAGGTCCACCCTCCCACTCACTTCCTTCTCCAGGGCCAGACTTGCTGAAGACACCTGAAGGTGAGTGGCGCTGAAACAGTCTCTTGAATTTTGTGAGCCAGGCTTTTTTTCAGTTGTGGTTAGTCAGCCCCTGTTCGGGGCATGTAACGCTGCCCTCAGTTTTCCTGGGATTCTGAACCCCAAACTCTGAGGTTTGCAGACTCGACTTTGTACAACATACAATGTCGATTGTGGTGATGGTGGTAGAAAACAGTAGGTTTCACTTTTGTCAGAATATGATTACCTCACACTGATACTTTTTCAAGCTACAGATCCCACTCCACTCTCCCAGGATTTGATCAGAAGTGCCACCCTGTGACTGGTCGCTCTCCCACGTGCTGCGCCTTCCTTGGTCGGTTTCTCCCTACTTCCCTCCACAGATCCTGAGACCTGGGCCAAGGAGAGCAATTCTGATGGAGTAGCTGGATTCTCCTACCTCTCTGTCTTTGCCATGCTGCTGTCCTTTCTGTCTGAGATGCCATTCTTGTCCATTTCCACTTGTAAAATTCTACCCTGTCAATCAGAGCCCTAACTGATGTCAAAACAAAACTGGGATGGATGGGGAATGGCAGACAGAACAGGATTTGGTTACAAACAGAGCTCAGGAACCAGGCAACTGTGGGCTGATTCTCTACCTAGTAACAGAGTGGCTGTTTTCAGATTTCTTAACCTGTCCGTTAAATGGGGAGGACAACATAGGACTGCTCTCGATGGTTGCATAGGAGAAGATTTATCACAGAGCTCTACACAGAATAAACTGGCAGGAATAGTAACCGTGTCAGTTGGACAACTTATAGCTTTCAGTTAATATCAATCTTCCTTTTTCTGCTCCTTTTTGTGTTTTCTCTCTTTA